GTTTAGGGTTTAGGGTTTAACCTTCCGACGCTGAACATGCACTGGGTCACCTGTACCAAAGTTATTTTTATAGCATCGAGACTCGTGGTTTCGATGGGTAAAACGATGGCAAGACATAGACACGATAACTTGATCCCGGGATAGTGAAGTTTATATTGTTTTATTCTGGGTTATCTTACAGCCCGAATTGGGCTGGTAGGTTTTAGAATCATCACCAACCTCATCACCATCGCCGTATCTCTACACAAGTAGCGAAAAAGAGTTTAGTGTTTAGGGATCTAGTCTAGGACGTTATTCGTTCAATGCCTTCCTGTCCGCTTTCCCGCACCATCCCTGGACTAGCTACGGGGCCAGGATGGATTTCCTAAAGCATACACATCGGTCCTTGAATTATTATCATGTAAGGCTCAGGGCCCCTAAACCCCCAAACCCTAAANNCTAAACCCTGAACCCTGAAGCCTGAATCAAAACTTCCTGTCCTCATCCTCTTAAGCCTGACGCAGCCTTCACGGCTCAAGCGCCCCCCGAAACCGAAAATCCGAAACCCCTCTGGTCACCCCGAACCCCTGAAGTTGCGGTTTAGGGTGTTTAGGGTTTGCCACTCAAGCCCTAAACCACGAAATCCTAAACGCGTTCTAGAGCTCTTGAAGAAAACGCTCCAAGGAAACTGTAAAGGCCCCTCAAAAAGGTGCTTTGAACCGCTGATTTTTGAGTGTTTCGAATCGTTAGTAAATAGTAGCGTTTCCTTGCAGTCCCCATGTAAAATATACCCCCCCAAACCCATCAAACCCTAGTGAACTCTATGCTAATCCCTTACTACAACCTGCAACCATATACACGCTCCGGAACATCCTATTCCAAGTCTTCAGGCGTCAGAGCATGCTACAAGGAACCGTACTCTAACCATTAAGGCTCTTAAAACAGAAGCCTAAACAATGACCAATTCTGTTTTTGGGGGTCCTTCTTATAATTACAGTATAATATAACCCCAAAAACCCTGTTCAAACTATGGAGACCCCTGCATTAAACCCTTGTAGAACCATTTAAGGCACCCTTTAAAGGAACCCCCCAAACCCCAAACCCAAAATCCTACACACTAACCGTAACCCTATTATCATTATTAAGGCCCCCCTGCGGCCATGGGTTCAGTAAGTAAGGTTATAAGTCCCTTAATTGGGGTTATAAGTATAGTTACCTTAGTTATAACCCTACTTACTAAGTCCCATGATCCTTCAGGGATGGGCAGTCCTCCTCCTCCTACTGCTATTACTACTACGACTACTTCCACTACTACCTACTACTACTACAACAACAACAACTACTACTACTACTACTACTACCACCGCTACTGCTACATTAAGCTAGCCCCATCTCTGGAAGTCTTCCACTGTGATGATTCAAGGCTGCGGGTTGCGGTGGAGAAGGTCTTGGACAAAGGCCCCCCTAAACCCTAAACCCTAAACCCTAAACCCTAAGCCCTAAACCCTAAACCCTAAACCCTAAACCCTAAACCCTAAACCTTAAACCCTAAACCCTAAGTTTTAGGGGCTCAGGGTTCGATTCGACCAGGAGGGCCTCTCCACGTTCGTTTTGTCTTAGGTTTTGGTTTAGGGTTTAGGGTTTAGGGTTTAGGGTTTAGGGTTTAGGTATAGTTTTTGGTTTAGGGTTTAGGGTTTAGGTATTGTTTAGGGTTTAGGTTTTAGGTATTGTTTTGGTTCAGGGTTTAAGGTTTAGAAGGGGTTCGGGAAGGGTTTAAAAGGCTGAGGGCCTCCAGATCTTTGCGGTTTACGGCTTCTCGGCTTTTCTGGTACGGGTTCAGGAAACGCATCAAGGGTTTTAGGGTTAGGGTCTAGGGTTTTACTGTAGGGTTGAGGGTTTAGGTTTTATGAGTTTAGAAGTTTAGGCTTAGTCTTTCGGCCTTTGGCACTTTCAGATCTAGGTTTCGGTAGTTGGGAGGTCCAGACAAGGGACCCAAACACAGCCCCTACACAGTAGGCCGTTGAGTGTTGGGATTTCGGGGTTTGGGATCTACCCTAAACCCTAAACCCTAAGCCCTAAGCCCTAAACCCTAAACCCTAGGGTTAGGGGTAGCGGACGGCCTGTCGAGTTTTAAGGTTTGCTTTTTAGGGGGTCCGGGCTTCGGCATTGCAGAGGCAAGTGTAAAGTGTTTGGGCATACTGTAGGGCGCGGGCTTGAGCGTTTAGGGTGGAGGGCTTAGGCTTTCCTGTCTGAGAGACTAAGGTTGGGGTAGGGTTTAGCGATTAGCGGCGTGGAGGGCTTAGGGTTTCGTGTGTAAAGTTTCGGCTATTAGGATCCCTTGGCGCAAGTTTCAGCAATGAGGGCTTGGTCTTGCGACATTCGAGGCCACGTCGAATGACTTCTATGCTGTCCTCTACATCCCAACCCTCAGACCCTGAACCCAAAACCCTTAACACCGAAGCTCCTAAAGCTTAAGCCGTGACCTTGAACCCAGGAAGCTTACCGCAACTAAGATAGGCCCCTAAACCCAGAGCCCTGAGCCCCAAACCACCGGCGAAGGCTGGAACAGCATCCCTTGGCCATCGAACTTCTCGGCTGCACACCTTGCCGCGAAGATGGGGGATGCACGGCGCTTAGGAGCTGGACGGTTTAGGGTTTAGGGTTTAGGGTTTAGGCCTGGCTGTTCTGGCATGTCGTAACTCCTTTGCATGGAGGAGACGGCTGGTGATGATGATAACGACGACGATGATGATGACCTGGCCATAGGAACTGTGTGCACATCATAATCTTAACATCACTCTCATGGAAAGTTACAACCCAAGAGTGCACTAAACCCTTAATCCTAAACCATGATCTTTGCCTGGGAAGGTCGTGTGAGAAGCAATCCAGGAGCCTCCTAGCAGCTCGCAATCATCGTTTCGTCCTCTGCGATCCTCTTGAATAGGCCATCCCATTGGAGCTCTACTCGAGTGTTTTTTCGCGGAGTCATTTTTGGTTGTTGAGTATATATCAAACTCCATTCTCTTCCTCTGGAGCTCTTTCACCAAGCCCCTGAGGTGACGGCCATCGACATCCTTGCGCAAGCTGGCGCAGACCTTTCGTGCCCCGGGCTTCCCTTTGTGTCCGAAGCATACTTGGAGGATCATGGGACTTAGTAAATAAGGCTATAAGTCCCCTAATTGGGGTTATAAGTATAGTTGCCTTAGTTATAACCCTACATACTAAGTCCCATGACCCTTTGAGTAAGCTTCC